TTGGGGAAAATTCCAAATAATTATGTTGGGTCTTTTGTCATAATATTGAATGTGATCAATGTAGAGAGAGAGAGAGAGTAAAGTGGAAATCTGCCACACAGGCATGGAGTGGGTGGGAGGGAGCGTATCCTGGGCTTCTTGGTGGTGGAAAATGTGCACTGGTGAAGGGACGGGAGTTTGATCATTGTATGACTGACCGAGACTTGAACTGAAAGGCTTTGTGACTGTTCTCACGGTGATTTAATAAATAAATAAAAATAAATAAATTTGCTCGAGCGGGCCCAGTAACGTCTCCATTGGAGACTTTGTTGTTACTGTGTCTGGCATATCGAATACTCTCGGTAGCTTGCCGGGCTCTCCGAGAGGGGCGGAGGAATCGAACTCGGGTCGGCCATGTTGGCTGCGTGCAAGGCAAATGCCCTACCACTAAAAATAAATAAATAAATAAATAAATAAAAAGAAGAGTGATTCCTGAGCACAAAACCAAGAGTGAGCCCAGAGCACTCTATTCCTTTCTTCTTATGTAAATTCCCTGTTGATCCAGTGCCATTTACTGTAAAGACCTTTCCCTGTTACAGTACCCATCACACCTGTCATGCATCGGTTGACGGTAAAAACAAGTTTGTTCTTCCAGTTCGATGCTTGGCACCACATGCGTTCCCCATGTACCACAGGAGTGACCCCTGAGCACAGCCTGGAGTCAGCCCTGGGCATGACCGGTGTAGCGCCAAAACCAACCAATCAAAAAAAAGAAAGAAACAAGTCTGTTCTTGTAACGTTAATAGTGTTCTACCTCAGAATTAATTCTGCCCGCCGGGTTGGGATAAAACTTCTGATCTTCTATGGTTACATTTGCTGTTATTGCAAATCAACCTTGCTATCTAATATGTAATGTTTTGTTGTTGTCTCATTTAAAAAAAAATTCTACTTTGCTCAAAATTGTCAGTCCTTTTGTCTTTTTTGGGGGGCAGGGGAGGAGGTGTTCTTTTTTTTTTAATTTCTATTCCTTTAATTGAATCACAGTGAGATACACAGTTACAAACTTGTTCATGATTGGATTTCAGTCATATAATGTTCCAATACCCATCCTTCACCAGTGTACATTTCCCACCACCTATGTCCCCAGTTTTCATGCATGCCCCACCGCTGTGGCTGGCTGGTAGCCCCCCGCCCCCTCTCTCCTTTTCAGCATTGTGGTTTGCAATACAGATACTGAAAGGTTTAATGTCTACTCCCTGACCTCCTTTCAATAATTTTTTGTCTTCATATTAAAGAGCTCTTTGTTTAAGTCTGGTAGTGATATTTTATTTTCCCACTTTATTAGCTTTTGTTTACTGGGTAAAGTCTTTATTCATATCCGAATGGTTATTTTTCAGGGCAGAGCCTCCTTGATTGGTAGTCTTTACGTTTTAGATTGGTGAATATATCATTCACTGTCTCTTCGCCTATAGTCTTTGCTGAGAATCTGATAATGATCCAGTCACGGTGCTTTGATAGGTTAGTTTTTCCCCCAATATGTTTTAGTAATAATTAAAATGTTTTAATAATAATTTAATAATGTTTTAATAATGTTTTAATGTTATATAATAACATTATATAATAATGTTATAATGTTATAATGTTTTAATAATAATTCTTAGAGTTTTTATTCTTACTCTCCCCACCTCCTTTGTCATTATGATGTTGTTTTGATGAGGGGGTTGCTCACATGTGTCTGTGTTGTTCATGTGTTTTTCTCTGGGGTGCCCGGATGTCACACACCGGAGTGCAGTGTCACACCCGTGGCCACACCCCCTCCCGTGGCCTTGTGGTGTTTATGCACATCCCAAGTGACACTCAGTGGAACGCAGAGTTTGGTTGTGATGTGCTGGGAACAAAGACTTAAGACAGATTTAAGATCGCTTGAGGAGAAGGGCCGAATGGGAAGATCAGAGGGCTTTGCAACCCAGGACGTGGTCCCCAGGTGGACAGCGGCTGAGGCTGGCCTCCCATCATGCTTCCTCCCTCCTCCGTCCCAGAGGAAGCTAAGACAAGTCCTACAGTGTTTGTCCCACAATGCAAGCCCTGGGTTGTGTAAAGAGTTTAGCCAGGCTAGATTGGCATCTGCGGGCAGAATGTCCTCTCCATGCAGATGAAGGACAATCAGGGCTTCAGTTCACAAGGCTGTGAAGCCCCTGGCCCCGTGCTGTTCTCTTATGCCTGTTTCAGTTTTTTTTTTGGGGGGGGGGGGGTGTTGGAGGCTTTTTTGGTTCACCCAGCAGTGCTCAGGGGTCACTCCTAACTCTGCCTCAGGAATTACTCCTGGCGGTGCTCAGGGGACCATATGGGATGCCAAGGGAACCCAGGTCATCTGCCTACAAGGCAAACACCCTACCCTCTGTACTATTGCTTCACCCCCCCCCCCACACACACACACACCCTACTTGCTGTACTATGGCTCTGGTCACCACCCTGTCCCCTCCCCCCCAGTCTCATTTTCTTAATCCTCTGAGACGATCGTGCATCGACTCTGTGCACCAGGCCTGGTCCCCGGCAGTGATGTTCCCCAGAGGTCACTGCATGCTCGCACACGTGCTCTGTCCGGAGGTCGCAGTGCCTGGCTGTGGTGCTCACGTCTCCTTATTCACACCCCTCTTTGTGGGGCACCCATGCCGGACTACAGCGTGGCTAGAAATCGCAGACACAGAGCTGCCAGGATCACAGTTTATTTACGTGGAAGAGTGGAGGTTTGAACCCGTCACTGTTTGCTTGCAAGGCAGGCCCCCTGAGTCACTGTGCTATTTCTCAGGGCCCTGACTTTTGGTCATCTAACTGTGATGCATTTGGTTATAGGCCTCTTTTTGCATGTGAAAGTTTGGGTGTTGTGTCAGCTTCCTGGGCGTCTCTGGGTAGTTTTCCCCATGGTTTTGGGTAGCTCTTGATTTTTTTTTTTCTGAGTGGACCTTTCTCTTGTTTTTGAAAATTTTTATCTGGGGGTGCAGGGACATGAGGGGTCTTCTCAAGCAGTGCTCTGGAGGCCTGGGGGCCTTTCCGGGTGATCTTAAGTCAACTGGGTGGATGGTTTACTGCAGGGACCCATTTGGTGCTGCTCAGCCCTGCAGTCCCTGAGAGTACTTGAATTGTTTTGTATTGTTTTAGGATCACACCTGGAGATGCTCAGGGGTTATCCTTGGCATCCCATACAGTATTCTGAGCCAGGAGTAAGGCTGTCTTTCTTTCTTTCTTTCTTTCTTTCTTTCTTTCTTTCTTTCTTTCTTCCTTTCTTTCTTTCTTTCTTTCTTTCTCTTTCTCTCCTTTCTTTCTCTCTTCTTTCTTTCTTTCTCTTTCTCTCCTTTCTTTCTTTCTCTCCTTTCTTTCTCTCTTCTTTCTTTCCTTTCTTTCTCCTTCCTTCTTTCTTTCTTTCTCTTTCTCTCCTTTCTTTCTCTCCTTTCTTTCTTTCTTTCTTTCCTTTCTTTCTCCTCCTTTCTTTCTTTCTTTCTCTCTTTCTTTCTTTCTTTCTTTCTTTCTTTCTCTCCTTTCTCTCTTCTTTCTTTCTTTCCTTTCTTTCTCCTTCCTTCTTTCTTTCTTTCTCTTTCTCTCCTTTCTTTCTTTCTCTCCTTTCTTTCTCTCTTCTTTCTTTCTTTCTTTCTTTCTTTCTCTCTCTCTCTTTCTTTTCTTTCTTTCCTTCTTTCTTTCGTCACCATGAGATACACAGTTACAAAGCTGTTCATGATTGGGTTTCAATGCTCCAACACTCATCCTTTCACCAGTGCACATTTCCCACCACCAATGTCCTATGCCTCCCTCCCACCCCACACCTTCCCAATCCCCCAACCCCCCAGCCTGCCTCTATGACTCTCTCTCTGTCTCTCAGTCTGTCTCTGTCTCCCCCCGCCCCCCTTCAGTTCCCACCCTCTGACCCCTGGTGGGCTGCCAGACTAGGCATAAAGCCCCTCACTGTCCCCACCTCTGGCGATTGGACCCATTTCTGGTCTGAGCACTCAGCCTGCGGCCCCAGGCCCCCTGCCAGGCGCAGCCTTTGGTGCCTGCAGCCAGACGCACCTCGCTCGGGACTCCACGGGTTCCAAGGGGGGTGGGCGGGGCTCAGCCTCTGCGCATCCCTGCTGACCCACACCTGTGGGGCTCAGTTCCTGCTCTCTGCACCCCGCTTCCCCGTGAATCATTCCCTTTGTGAAGGGGCTCTTTGCAGCCCGCCCTGATCATCCTTCCCACTCGGTCCTGCGGAGGGGTTGGGGGGGGGGGGAGGTTAGGACGGGTGGTCCTGCTGGGATCTGGACTCAGGTACCCAGCTCAGGGAGGTGTGTGGCTCCTCATCGCCTCTGCCAGGAGCCCGTGGGATCCTGGGTGCTCGCTCATCCCCGGAGCCCACAGCCCTGCCTGGTCACAGTTGCTCTGTAGCCCGACTTCTCCCCATTCTGCCCCAGCACGGGCTTTCGACCTCCACATTCAGTGACATAACAATGCTTTAATGGGATTTCCCCAGACACAGTTAATTTAATTTAATTCAATTGGGGGGGGGGGGGCTTTGGGGAACTATAGCCAGCGGTTCTTAGGGTGGCTGCCTCTTTGAAGTGACCCCTGCCTGGCAGTACTCAGGGGAATCATATGTGCTTGTAATGATTAAAAACAGGGTCAGTCCCATGCAAGGCCACTGCCTTAGCCTTTGTCCATCTCTTTGGCCCTGTGTTGTTGTTTTTTAAAATAAACATGATGTTTTTAAAAATTAGCCATGTTTCCTGAATGTGTCTTTACTTGGACTCATATTAAATTTTGCTTTTGCTGGTGTCAGGAATCGAACCCAGGGCCACGGACATTCAGAGCATTAACTCTACCACTGAGCTACATTCCCAGGTCCAAGGAGGAGTTAATTTTCTTCAGCACCTAGACCTCTATCTCCACCTTTTTGAGAAGTCACTTATTGAATTTTTGGAAGAAGCCAAATGAATGCTTTATTTAAATTGTTATTGACTGATCTGTCTTTCTCTATTTTCTTTTTATAGGGAATACACTGAGTAACTTGTTTATGATCCTACCTCCAATTTTCGGTGCAATCCAGAGTATTAGAGATAAGCTTGAAAAGCGGTACATCGCATCTTATTTAGCGCTCATGGGTATGTAAAATTCTTTTTAAAAAATGCATCTATTTTTCCCACTCTTTGTTTAAACACTGTGGTTTACAAAGTTGTTCACATTGATTTGTTCCAGGCATTCACTATTCCATCACCAAGCCCACCACCACTGTCTCCTTCCCTCCACCGTTGTCTCCATTTTTCCAAACACCCCCGAAGCCTGACCCTGTAGCAGGCCCAAAATAATTTATTTTATGTTGCTTTATGTTACAAAGCACTATAGCACTGTCCTCCTGTTGTTCATCCATTTGCTCGAGTGGGCACCAGTAACGTCTCCATTGTGAGACTTGTTGTTACTGTTTCTGGCACATCGAATATGCCACAGGGAGCTTGCCAGGCTCTGCCGTGCAGGTAGCTTGCCGGGCTCTCCGAGAGGGATGGAGGAATTGAATCCGGGTCAGCCACATGCAAGGCAAACGCCCTACTGCTGTGCTATGGCTCCAGCCCTACTTGTCTGTAATGAAGAAAAATTGTCTGTTATTTTTGTGTCCTCATTGTGTGATAAGATGGGTCCTCATTAAATGTTGGGTGGGTGAATGAACTTTATCAGAGCCTAAGATGGGAAATCACTCATTAGTTTTAGGTTGTCATTGTTACATCTCATTCTTACTTTGGACAACCTGGCAGGCTACCGAATGTAACCTGCCCACACAGCAGAGTCTGGCAAACTCCACATGGCGTACCCAATATGCCAAATACCAGTAACAATGATGGATCTCATTCTCCTAGCCCTGAAAGAGCCTTGAATATGACACTTTAAAATCTCAGGGCTAGGATGAAGGAGACGTTACTGGGGCCTGCTCGAGGCAATTGATGAACAACAGGATGATCATGATGGTGATCTTCATAAAGAAAAAAACTAGCAAAGAAAGTGGATTCTAGTTTGTTTCTTTTATAAAATTTTCTAAACAAAGTATATATTCTTTTCATTTTAGTTCAAGGTAGATAGTTACATATAGTAAAAATAGTCTCAATTACCACCAAACTAAAGTATAGTGTATCATATCAGCTTACACTACGATTAGATTACTTACTGGTTATGAGGTTTAATTGCTAAACTTGTTACTCAGGGACAGGCTATTTTAAGACAGTGACTTGTTTTATCTTAAAAGGAAGATCTCCTTTGCTTTATTTTCTGAGACGTTTTAAGAATATTTGCAAAATTCCCCCCACCCACACCCCCCTGCTGAAGAGCCCCAGTCATTAAGGATAGGGAGGTAACAGAGGCATTAGGGATACATGCTTTGGGACCCACATTCAGTCCCTAGCACCCAGTGGTGCTATGAGCACTGCTGGATGTGCCCGTATAGTCCTGGGGGCCCAACCCCCACCCCAACAGCTCCAGGTATGGCCCTAGGGGTGGGTATGGCCCCATGAGTACTACAGGGTATGGGACTGGTACCACCCCACACTGCCCCACACTGCAGGGCCTGACTAACACTGCATCTGGGAGCCCTAGCATCGAACCATCTGGCTCAGTTGACTGAAAGTAACCCTGACCATCCTCCTCCCCACCTGAACATTGTTTGGGAGGCCCAGAGGGGACAAAACTCCCCATAAAAATAAAAGATTTGGGAAACGTTCTGGTTACCCTAACATAATGGTGGCCTTCTGAGTTATAATTCATCCACTTTTCTACTCAGATCTCTCCTGGTGGTGCTCAGGGGACCATATGGGATGCCAGAGATCAAACGTGGGTCAACTACTAATAGGCAAGCACCTATTATTTCTCTGGCCCCCAAATTGTTTTTAAATAAGAAATAAACACTTGGAGCTGGAGCGATAATACAGCAGGTAGGGCATTTGCCTTGCATGCAGCCGACCTGGGTTTGATTCCCAGCATCCCATATGATCCCCCGAGCACCGCCAGGAGTAATTCCTGAGTGCAAAGCCAGGAGAAACACCTGGTGTGACCCAAAAAGGAAAAAAAAAAAAAAAGAAAGAAAGAAGCACTTAAGTGCTTCAAATAGCAATATTTTTAATGTTATAGACATTGGGAGTCTTGAAAACCTACATGGAAAAGAAAAGAAGAATTGAAAGCCGACATTTGACGATGTTAGCACCAAAGAGAGAGAAGACCCTACAACAAATATAAAACTTTTTTTTCTTGCATTTTGGGTCACTCCCAGCAATGCTCAGGGGTTACTCCTGGCTCAGCACTCAGGAATTACTCCTGGCGGTGCTTGGGGGACTATATAGGATGCCGGGGATTGAACTCAGGTCAGCCGCATGCAAGGCAAACGCCCTATCCTATCGCTCCGGCTCCCAGTATAAAACTTTTTGAAAATGGTATAACCCTTGACTTTGGTGGGCCACAGTACTGGCTAAAGAGAATTGATTAAATGTGAAAATATAGTAGGCAGTTCTGGAAATACATCACTTTTTGGGAAAAGATCAATAGAAAGGAGCTAGTACACAGTGTGGATGGATCAAGTGAATGGAGAAAAGGAAGAGGAAAGAATTAAGGCAAAATCAGATGACATTAACCAAAATAGTAAATGAGGATTTATCTTTTCTCTATATCCCTGCCCACCCTAGTTGTTTCTAGACTGCTATATACCATTCTCACTGGCATGATATGATATCTCATTGTCATTTTAATTTCCCTGCTACCTGTGACGTATTCGATACGCCAAACACAGTAACAACAAATCTCATGATGGAGACGTTACTGGGCCCGCTCGAGCAAATCTCTGAACAACGGGAGGACTGGACCAAGTGACAAAGAGCATTTTCATATACCTACCAGCCACTATCTGTCCTCTTCAGAGAAGAAGAAATGAAGCTATCTAGACTTTAAGATGATGTGATAATTAATATATACAGGAAATCCCAAAGACTCCATTAGAAAACTATTGGAAATAGTGAATGAGTACAGTAAAGAGCTAGGTTACAAAGTCAATATATAAATATGCTGGATGCCTGTATGCAAACAATCTAAGGTCTAAGGCCCTCCCGTTGATCGTCGATTTGCTCGAGCGGGCCCAGTAACGTCTCCATTGGAGACTTTGTTGTTACTGTGTCTGGCTTTATGCAAACAATAAGCGAAAAAAATGGTAGCAGACACGGCGGAGCAGATGCCTAGCAGGGGTGAGGCCCTGAGATCAGCTCCAGCACTCCCCTCCATCACTGCTGGTGTAGCTCTGCTCACCCCCAAACACTGCTTAGTTGTGCTATCACCAGGAGTGGCCCCTGCAAAAAATATAAAGACTAAGCAAGCAATTCTGTTCTATTTTCATTAAGAAGAATTAAACATCTAGAAATCAGTGTAATTGAGGAGCACTAATTGGATCAGTGGGTAAAGTGCTTACATGTGGCCAACCCGGGTTCAATCTCTGGCACCCAGTCTGGTCCCTCAAGGCTGCCAGGAGTGATCCCTGAGCACAGAGGAGTAAGCACTGCCGGGTGTGGCCCCAACAAAAAAATGAAAGCAAACAACAACAACAACAACAACAGCAACACACACACACACACACACACACACACACACACACAAAAGACTCACTCTTCAAGTGTATTCTCCCTTGAACACATATCTCGCTTGTCTCTATGTTTCTCTCCTTGCCTATTTCCACCCTGGAGAAGCCTGTGCTCTCTCCTGAACACACATTTCTCTCTTTCCCCTCACATCTGTCTAAATAAATATCAATACAAACTTTCTTGCTTCACGAGAGAGAGAAACATTATAAAATTACGAAGGAGATGAAAGACTTATACAAGGAAAACTACACGATGTTGAAGGCACAAAGAGATAAAGAGGTATTCTATGTTCATGAGTGGGGAGAAATAAATGTAGTCAAATGGCCATCTTATAAAATCATCATACAAATTCATTTCATCCCTATTAAAATTCCAATTAATTTCTTAATACTCGTACATAATTCCAATTCATTTCTTAATACTTAATACTCCTGGGACTTTGACATGGCAGTATTTGTGGTGTATGTGGAAGCATGATACATGACCCTGTGATCTTAACAACATCATGGGTGCTTCGCTGTCTAAGTATGTAGCCGGGGCCGAGAAGAACATGGCAGGCATAACTACCTGTAATTGTTCTGTGACTGTGTTCTTGCTTCTTGATTTCCCTCTGTTTCCCATTATGCACATGCTAACTCTCTAAAAATTAGTGTATTTTTGAAACCTGAAAGGAAAAAGAAGACGGGCTGGCGTGAGAGCTCCACAGGCTGGGGTGCAAGCTTTACCAGCAGGGGGCACTAGGTAGTACCTTGAACTCTGCCAGGAGTGACCCCTGCGCACTGACTCAGGGGTAGCCCATGAGCACCACCAAATTCAAAAAGAAAAACAGAAGAAGAAAAAAATAGCAAAATTTTTATGGAACCATAAATATAATATCCTGAATAGCAAAAATCATCTTGAGAAAAAGAAGAAAAACTAACCATATCACATCACGCAACTTCAAACTACATTCCAGAGCAACAGTTACTGAAACAGTATGGAACTGAAATAAATATAAATGCATAGATTTGTGGAATACAATCAAGAGCTTAGGAGTAAATTTTCACATATATTTCTGCCTATGTGAGCCCGTTATTCTGCACTAATGTACTGTAACCCATAGTCAACTAAACAAATTGAGTGGGATGAGAGAAAGTAAGCCAAATGATCTTGTTAAGGCTAATATAGAATGTTCCGACTCAGTGTATTCTGTGTATTGATATAATCCATTCCCTTCAGAGTAGGCTGGGGACATTTCAAAAAGCTCTTTCTAAAATACCCAAGTGGGGCACTGGCAATAGCTCAGTGGTCAATACCTGCCCTGCAAATGAGGTCATGATTTCCACTGCTAGCACAGCCCCACATGCTGAGAGCAATTTCACGGTACCGACTTTGGGTTTCCTAGTGCCACAGTAAATAGTTGCTGGCCCACCAAAACCACACGTGGGCAAACTATTCCCCTAAAGTATGCATTACCCTGGGCCAAAGTGATAGTATAGCAGGTAGGGCTCTTGCCTTGCACA